TATGATTTATATTGATATTGTTTCCGGATTGCTTATTTGTACCCTATGACTATCATTAAGTGTTGTACCTTATGATTCTTGACGAATGTAGCTTTTCTTTTATGTACACTGAGAGCCTATGCACCAAAGACAAATTCCTTGTGTGTCCAATCACCCTTGGCCAATAAAAAATTTTAATTCTAATTCTTCTAATTCTAATGTGAGATAGCACCCCCTAACAAAGCTCTGGGCTACATGCCAGAAAATGTATTCTTTTCCTCCTTTCTGAGGTCTTTTGTTTCCAGAGCGCTGAGATAATCATGAGGTTTGCATGAACTAATGGATATGAACTTATGTTTCTAACACTATGACGATCTGTGCAAGCTGGGTAAACTATAAGAAGTTTGAGAAAAGGTTTTTGCGCGGCGGTGGCAGCTTCGGCTTTGGCTTTTTCTCTCTGCCTGCTCTGTTTAAGGTGGGAGATTAAAAAGTCTCCCAGTTTTGCTTTCTGATCAGAAATAAAACTGATTATCAGTTGCCTCGTGTTCAGAGTTCCATTGGATTATATTGCGGTGCTCGTGTCCTTCCCACATTTATTAACATTTGCAATATTAATATATTTAATCTATTATTTACAGGCCTATGTTTGGGAGCCTCTCTTCTAACCTGCTGAGCAATGAGCAAGTTGTCCTTAAATTGCCCTTCGTTGTTAGATATTAGACTTTCTCTGCAAAATTTACATTCGCGTTGGCTAACCTGTTGCCTTTCAAGACAGGTTAGACTTCCAGAATTCCCAGCCAGTTTGATCAAACTGCCTAGGAATGTTGGTGACTCAAAACACATTTGACGAACACCAGCTGGGGAAGGCTTATTATGCCGATCTTATTATTCACAGAACCGTAACTTCCTTTTCAGGGATAGAGTCTCTGAGCAACCTTAATTCTCTGTTTATGCGTCTTGGGCAGATTTGTCTCTAGTCAAGAACAGATTGAAACCTCCTAAGACTTTTGAATTGAAAAATTGAAAATTTTGAATTGAAAAGATTGAAACCTCCTAAGACTAAGAGGGATGTGGCGGCTCAGTGGCTGAGACACTGAGCTTGTCGATCAAAAGGTCGGCAGTTCAGCGGTTCGAATCCTGAGCGCCACGTAATGGGGTGAGCTCCCGTGACTTGTCCCAGCTTCTGCCAACCTAGCAGTTTGAAAGCAAGTAAAAAATGCAAGTAGAAAAATAGGGACCACCTTTGGTGGGAAGGTAACAGCGTTCCATGTGCCTTTGGCATTGGGTCATGCTGGCCACATGACCACGGAGACGTCTTCAGACAGCGCTGGCTCTTCGGCTTTGAAACAGAGAGGAGCACCGCCCTCTAGAGTCAGGAACGACTAGCACATATGTGCAAGGGAAACCTTTACCTTTAAGACTTTTAAGAAATTGCTTTCTTTAGCTTTTCCAGAGGTTATTTGGCTGGAGCCAGTGCCCATACGGAGCAATTCATTTGCAGGCTACAATTGTTTAATCAGGAGCACGGTGAGAGTTTGGGATAATTTCAGGAGGCTGACTAGCTCCAGGATTTTCAATCACAGGGTTCTGAATCATGCTGATACATCAAGTCAGATCCTAGATGTAATGATCTGTTAGGAACGGTGACTTTAGGGGCCCCTGAAACACACCATTAGTATTTCTCTCTTCTCTGGCAGGAATCATCATGCTAACTGTGTCTACATGCTCAACATCTTGAAACCAAATCAAAGAAGGGAAATGTTTGCCAGTCCCAATCCTGGCAGATATGTGCAGGTTTGAAAGCTGAGTTCTCTTATAATGCCACACTTGGAATCCTGCATCCAGTTTTGGTAGCCACGATGTAAAAAAAGATGTTGAGACTCTAGAAAGAGTGCAGAGAAGAGCAACAAAGAGGATTAGGGGACTGGAGGCTAAAACATATAATGATTGCTGGAACTGGGTATGTCTAGTTTAATGAAAAGGAGGACCAGGGGAGACATGATAGCAGTCTTCCAATATCTCAGGGGCTGCCCCAAAGAAGAGGGAGTCAAGCTATTCTCCAAAGCACCTGAGGGTAGGACAAGAAGCAATGGGTGGAAACTAATCAAGGAGAGAAGCAACTTAGAACTAAGGAGAAATTTCCTGACAGTGAGAACAATTAATCAGTGGAACAACTTGCCTCCAGAAGTTGTGAATGCTCCAACACTGGAAGTTTTTAAGAAGATGTTGGATAACCATTTGTCTGAAGTGGTGTAGGGTTTCCTGCCTAAGCAGGGGGTTGGACTAGAAGACCTCCAAGGTCCCTTCCAACTCTGTTAATCTATTCTTCAAACCCAACATTTTTTCAGAGCTTTGGAATTAGCTTCTGGAAAATGCTCCTGTTGGGCCACAAGAGTTCCTGTAGATCCAGAGATGTGTCTTCAGATGTCCACCTGAGGCTTATTTGATGTTCTCTTCCATTACCTGCTACTTTCAGGATAATCAGTTGGCCTGTTGTACCCCAACGTACAACTTTCCCTCTACACTGGGGTGTCCAAACTTGACAACTTTAAGATCTGGGGCTGGCTGGGGAATTCTAGGAGTTGAAGTCCACAAGTCCTAAAGCTGCCAAGGCAAGGCACCTCTACTTTATGCCCTAATTCCCCCTTTCGAGTTTGGAAATAATTTTGAAAACTGGACACGCCATTAAACAAGACAGCTTTATAAACAGCCCTTTGAGATTCTTACAAAGCCCACAAAGAGGAAGCAAATATGGAAGTGCAGGATGTTTTATTTTCTCTCTTTCTCGCAGCAGAATAAAAAAATACCATATAATGCAACCAGTAGTATTCTTACAATTCAAGCAAAGAGAAGAAACTCCATTTCATATATAAAGTCTTTCTTTCAGACGTTCAGGCTTCTCAATCCAGAGGGTTTCCAAGAAGACAGGGAGAATGTTAATCCCAGAAGGCAGAGGGAAGATTATGGTGGATAAAAACTCCACCGGTTTTTAGTATTTAACTACACCCTTGCAGTCAGCATCTGCAACCCTTTTTTCTTAATATATATTTATTACATTTTATCAACAAGAATACAATGCAAAACAAAGGAAACCCCCCCAAAAAACGTATCTCCAATAATAATAAAAATTGTGTACAATCATCATCATCAGCCAAACATCAAATAAATCTAACATTAAACATACAAAAAAAAAAATATCCATCCTGGCTGGATGCTGGAAAGAAAATTTATCTTATGATTAGAAGTTGGGTGATCGCATCGATGATAACATCGAAATCTCACCATTGGAAATATTTGTTTATATCTTTTTCCTGGTTAAATAAGGATGAGAAGAACGTAGATAGTTATTTGTAAATCACCTTGAGTTTTTTTTAACCTGCGTCCTCTGGACAACCCTGAACTCTGCCCTGAGAAACAAACTTTTCTGTCGTGGCTTTGGCCCAATGGAGCTCTGGTTCTGGTTGGACTTTGGCCCATTTCCTCTAAAACTGCAAACTTCTGGGCTCTCTCGTGGAGGGAAATACCGTAGCATCAGTGCTGGGATTCAAAAGATTTTACTACCAGTTCTGTGGGCGTGGCCTGGTGGGCATGGTGTGGCTTGGTGGGCATGGCAGGGGAAGGATACTGCAAAATCCCCCTTCCTTCCCCACTCCAGGGGAAGGATACTGCAAAATCCCCCTTCCCTCCCCACTCCAGGAGCAGGATACTGCAAAATCCCCCTTCCCTCCCCAATCCAGGGGAAGGATACTGCAAAATCTCCATTGCCACCCCACTCCAGGGGAGGATACTGCAAAATCCCCATTCCCTCCCTACTCCAGGGGAAGGATACTGCAAAATCCCCCTTCCCTCCCCACTCCAGGAGCAGGATACTGCAAAATCTCCATTCCCTCCCCACTCCAGGGAAGGATACTGCAAAATCTCCATTCCCTCCCCACTCCAGGGGAAGGATACTACAAAATCCCCATTCCCACGCCACTCCAGGGGAAGGTTACTGGAAAATCCCCATTTCCTCCCGATCAGCTGGGACTCGGGAAGCAGCCAATAGATCTGAGGCAGGGCTAGCCAAAGGTGGTATTTGCCGGTTCTCCGAACTACTCAAAAGTTCCGCTACCGGTTTGCCAGAACCGGTCAAAACCATCTGAATACCACCTCTGCGTAGCATCACTGAACTGGTGGAAGATTCAATCCAGATTCGTCAGGAAGCTTTGGGAACTTGGTAAAAGGAGCTTTGGAAGGAATCTCTCCTTCTAAATAGGAAGAAAGGACCGTTTTCTCTTCAAACACTAAACATTTTGTCTCGCAAAGGTTTGGCCTGAAATATTTCCTGCCAGGGTAACATGATGTTTCCTGCTTTATGCATTCACTTCAGTCAAGAGTAGGACAGAAAAATAATTCTCTGTCATGCTTGAAAAGAGGAATCTCATAGCTGGATGTCAGTACCGGCAGTCCTCGACTTACGACTGCAACAAAATTTCGGTGGTTAAATGAGACATTTGTTAAGAGGGTTTTGCCCCGTTTGGCGACCTTCCCTGCCACAGTTGTTAAGTGAATCATTGTCCGTTGATAAGTTAGTAACCTAGTTGTTAAGTGAATCTGGCTTCCCTATTGATTTTGATTGTCCGAAAGTCGCCAAAGGGGAATCACACATGATCTTGGGACACAGCAATGGTCATAAGTATGAATCAGTTGCCAAGCCCCTGAATTTCGATCACATGATCGTGGGGGAGGCTTCAAAGGCCTTAACTGTGAAAAAGGGTCATAGCTGTGAAAAACGGTCGTAATTTTTCATTGCCATTGAAACTTGGGTCACTAAATGAATTGTTGTAAGTCAAGGACCGGCTTTTATTTTAGGAGGAGATCACTGACAGCAAAGAGATTTTCTGTTTTGTTTTAAACTACGGTAGCTCCATATCTCCGTCTAGTACAGTGTTTCTCAACCTTGGCCGCTGGACGATGTGTGGACTTCAACTCCCAGAATTCCCCAGCCAGCTGGCTGGGGAATTCTGGGAGTTGAAGTCCACACATCGTCCAGCGGTCAAGGTTGAGAAATAGTTGTCCCTTTTGCAGAAAAATTTGACACTAACCGAAAACAGCAGAATACTCGACTTACAACAATTCATTTAGTGGTTGCAATGTCCTGGGGTGGGGTGGGGGTATCATGTGATCAACTTTTACGAGCAAAGTCCACGGGGAAGCCAGATTCACTTAACAACCGTGTGACTCATTTAACATCCGCCGTGATCCACTTAACAACTGTGTCATGAAAAGGCCGTGAAATGAGGCAAAACTCACTTAACAAATGTCTCTCAAATAGCGACAGGAATGTTGGCCTCAAATGTGGTCGTAAGCTGAGGTCTAGCTGTAGTTTAGTGCAGGGCTAAACCTATCCCAGGATCTTTTGAGGGCCTGGTGATCGTAACTAACCATCCTTTCTAAAAATTACTGGCAAACTTTCCACCATTTTGAGACAGAAAACATATGTGCAGTGTCTTGGGAGACCCAAACTATATACAAAACGTTTTTTAACAACAACAATGCTGCCAAACCATTCCTGAAATGATTGCTTTTAAAAAAAATAAATAAAAATGAACAAAACTTCCTGTATTTCACAGCTTTGCCTCATCAGCGATGGCTTGATTGAGTGGCTTAAGTACCTTCTTAACCCACATTTTCCAGGAAAATATTTGGGAGGAAGTCATGACGGAGAAGCCGGTTGAAACATAATATAAGTGAATATGTAGCCTGGGTATGTTCAAGGATTTCTGAGTTTCGGGAAAAGGGCTGGGACCATAAAATGTCCTGTCATTTCCTCTCCTGCCTTAATTCAAAATAATATTACAGATTAACAGAGTTGGAAGGGACCTTGTAGGTCATCTAGTCCAACCCCCAGCCAAAGCAGGAGACCCTACACCATTTCTGACCGATGGCAGTCCAATCTCTTCTTGAAAGCCTCCAGTGATGAAGCTCCCACAACTTCTGAAGGCAACTTCTGTTCCATGGGTTGATTGTTCTCACTCTCAGAAAATTCCTCCTTATTTCCAGGTTGAATCTCTCCTTGATCAGTTTCCATCCATTGTTCCTTGTCTGGCCTTCGAGTGCTTCAGAAAATAGCTTGACCCCCTTCCTCCTCTCTGTGGCAGCCCCTCAAATATTGGAAGATGCTATCCTGTCTCCCCTGGTCCTTCTCTTCACTAGACTAGCCATGCCCAGTTCCTGCAACCGTTCTTCGTATGTTTTAGCCTCCAGTCCCGTAATCCTCCTGGTTGCTCTTCTCTGCCCTTTTTCTAGAGATTATTAATAATAATCAATATTATTATTATCATCATCAATAATAATATTGATCTACAATAATTGCACCGTTCGTTTTTCTCCTAAACTCACTACAGCTAGTCCTATTCATCTAGCATCGGTTCGAAGTCATAACAGCACTGGAAAAAGTGACTTATCACCATTTTCCCACACCACCGTCGTGACATCCCCATGGTCACATGATAAAAATTTGGACGCTTGGCTCAGTATTTACGACGGTTGGAGCGTCCCAGGGTCATGTGATCGCCCTTTCGCGACCTTCTGGCAAGCAAAGTCAATGGAGGAGCTAGATTCACTTAACAATCGCACTGCTGGTTGTGGCAAGAACGGTCGTAAAATAGGGCAAAAACTCACTTCGCCACTGTCTCGCTTAGTTGTGGAAATTTTGGGGTTGATTGTGGTTGTAAGACGAGGTTCGACGTGTAATTCAACGTGGTGTAGATCTACAGGGGTTATATTATTTATTTATTTATTTATTTATTATCAAATTTATAGACCGCCCTTCTCCCGAAGGACTCATATTAACTGCAACATCCGTTTGTTGTCTAAACTCAGGATCTTAAGAGGCTGAAACTCAGATCCTCTCTTCTGTCTAGTATTTGAGGTAGGCTTCTCTCCCCACATCCAATCTGATTAGATCAGGGATCACCAACCTTTCGGACCTCAGGGACCACTAAATTCATAATTTTAAATCCCGCGGACCACTAATACGATCTGCCTAATGACCGGATGGGTAGGCGTGGCTAGGTGGTCATGTGACTGGGTGGGCGTGGCCAACTCAATGTCACTTACGTCGAGGGGTGCCTCGCTGGCCTCTACTCACCCCTCCCCTCCTACCACTCCTCGCCTCCCCATCTGGACTCCTTAGGGCCCCAACAGGAAGCAGTTGTTGGAGCTAAGCAGCCTCCACGAGAAAGAGTTGGCAAAACAGTTCAGTTCAAGTTGGATCTGACCGAGAAGGAGGCTCAGCAGAAGCACCTCACTGAGGACTAGGAGCATAGGCTTTCCAAGCAGAGGGAAAACCTGCGGGAGTGCAAGGCCAGGTACCGGCGCCTGGAGGCTCAGCGGGCTGAGATGGTCAGCCAGTTCCAGGCCATGATGCAGTCCCACTAGAATGAGGCCCTCCGGCTCTTCGCCACCAGCGGCTCTTCCTTCCAGCCTTCGCCCAAAGCCCCACACCAGGAGGCTGAAGCAGACCCCAAATCGGAATTTCTGCTCCCCTCCAATCCACACAAAAAGACCCCAAAGGGGGAAGACTCTCTGCAGCAACACAAACGTTCATTGCACGTATCTGTCCCAGGGGCCGTAGTTTGAGGATCCCCGATTTAGTGCAATATAAAAAATGCAAATAATTTTTCTGCGGACCACCAAAATTTTTTCACAGACCACCAGTGGTCCACGGGCAATCAGTTGTTGACCGCTGGGTTAGAGGACAGATTTCTTCTTCAGGATGGCTAAAGACTCCTTATTTCTCAGTACATCACCTTAGTTGTCCACCGGCAAATGGAATCCGTACACACCGTTCCCTTCCTTCATGCACAATCTGGAGGATATTTCGAAATATCCCTTACACGTCCAGAGGAAATGACAATCAGCTTTCGCTTCTCCTTGCTAATTAATGTGTGATGCCTTTGCAATTCTACAAAGGAGACATAAATGCTATTGGCTGGGAAATCTCCTGCCTCTTGAATCCATCGAAATGCCACCATTCACTATATTAACATATTCAGCGGATACTGAAGATTGGAAGCACACTGTTAGCTTGGACACATATTCTCGAATGCTTAACTGCTTGTAATTATTTTGTCATGCTCAAGAAAATAGTTATCACCAGGATGCAAAAATTCCTGGGGTAATTTTTGCGTCCCAAATATTGCAGCATTTTTGTCAGGGCAGGAAAACCAGAAAGGAAAGCAAGAAAATTTAGGCAAGAAAAACAAAATGCACAGAGTACAGTATATGAGATACCTGACTCAATAGTAGTAACTGTGAGAGGGATCTTGGGAGTCCTAGTGGACAACCATTTAAATAGGAGCCAGCTGTGTGCAGCAGCTGCCAAAAAAGCCAACACAGTTCTAGGCTGCATCAACAGAGGGATAGAATCAAGATCACGTGAAGTGTTAATATCACTTTATAATGGCTTGGTAAGACCAGACTTGGAATATTGCATTCAGTTTTGGTGTTTGTTCCCTCCATCACCTGAATTCATCCAAATTCAGGAATTTAGCACTGTGGATCAGCCACGCTTTATTATATATGAAAAAGGAAAACCTTTGGGGTAGTGAAAATCCAGCGATAATATTGCTGCTGCAAATCTGTTGCCCGAAGTGACCGTGTAAATGTCTTGCTGGAGTGACTGGTGGCCAGCGAATTTGAAACGGAGTGTAAAATGTAAAAACCCCTTCAGGGATGGATGTTCCCTTCCAGTGGGAGGAAATCTTGGCTAAGAAGCTCGCTTGGATCACAGTCAATGCGCAGAGTTTGGGAGGGGGTGGAAGAGTGGCCAGGAAAAAAAAAAAAATAAACGCCAAAACAAAATTTGAATTCGGGTGCATTGAAATCTAAGTCACATTTAAATGATTTAGATGAACGTAAGTTAACAGAATGGGGACGCAGTGGCTCAGACGCTGAGCTTGTTAATCGAAAGGTCAGCAGTTCAGCGGTTCGAATCCCTAGTGCTGCGTAATGGGGTGAGCTCCCGTTCCTTGTCCCAGCTTCTGCCAACCTAGAAGTTGGAAAGCAGGTAAAAAATGGAAGTAGAAAAATAGGGACCCCCTTTGGTGGGAAGGGAACAGCGTTCCGTGCGCCTTTGGCGTTGAGTCATGCCGGCCACATGACCACGGAGACGTCTTCGGACAGCGCTGGCTCTTCGGCTTTGAAACAGAGATGAGCACCGCCCCCTAGAGTCGGGAACGACTAGCACATATATGCGAGGGGAACCTTTACCTTCACCTTTAAGTTAACAGAAGTGATTTAATTAACGTAATTTTTTTTAAAAAAATCCCCACATATTTAATATGCTTTTTCCTCGTAGCCATTGAACAGATTGCAGTTCCAAAGCCACACCCCACTGTCCTGATTTACACAATGTAGACCCATTGCCCTCAACCGGATTACACCATTGGAACATCGATGGCAAGTGGACAATTCCATTCCTCAGATTTCCCAAGCGCTTGTGCAATGAAGCGAAAATTGGGCAGTAGTTCAGATGGAGAAAGTGAGCCAGAGCTTTTAAAAGTCCCAAACTCGATTGAGCCAATTTTGTAATCTGCACCAAATCAGCTTTATGCAGGATCAAATGCCAATCTAGAGAACAAGAAATGTATTTTGCCCGGAATTTATATTAAAGGGGCGATAACTGTCCAGGCAATGCAAGGCATTTGAACAGGTTTTTTTTTTATCTTACCTATGGAAAGGTTTGATTTTCATTATTATTATTCCAAATAAAAAGAGAATGGAAATTAAAGGGCTGAACTACATTAATAGGCTGGAGGGAGATCAGAGGTGGGTTTCAGCGGGTTCTGGAGAACTGGTAGTGGAAATTTTGAGTAGTTCGGAAAACCAGTAAATACCTCTTCTGACTGGCCCCTCCCCCATCTATTTTCTGCCTCCAGAGTCCCTGATAATCAGGAGGAAATGGGAATTTTGCAGTATCCTTCCCCTGGAGTGAGGAGGGAATGGGGATTTTACAGTATACTTCCCTGCCATGCCCACCAAGCCATGCTACGCCCACCAAGCCTCACCCACAGAACCGGTAGTGAACATTTTTGAAACCCACCACTGAAGCAGACAGTGGAGAAAATATGTTGCTATTTGTTGTGGCTCCGTTACCTGAGCCTGTGTCATCGGCAGGAGAGGACTCCGAGAGTGAAGGAGAGGAGTTGGCAAGGCCTCCTTCTCCAGGACCCTCCTTTCTGGCAATGCCTTCAGTGTCCACCGAAGGGCAAGAGATAGGGCCGGGGCCAAGCACGTCCACGCAGCCAAGGTGGACAGTGATGAGGGAAATGAGTCTTGGCTGGATCCTCGGCAGCGTCGCAGAGATAAGCGCGCGCAACAGAAGAAAAGGGGTGCCAGAGATTAGGCTGAGTCACTGGACCACACCCCACAGGGTATAAAAGGGTGAGGTGGCCATTCAGACTCTGTGACAGACAAAACTAACTACTATTGAGTCACATTGCATCTTTGGAAACAACATTATCGGCCTTGGATTTATTTTACGAACTGGACAATTCTTGACTGTGGGTATTTTGTTTATTGAGTAAAAGTTCTTGGCAAGCAGCTACTGGGTTGCTGCCAAGCGTCTTATCGGAAGAATTGGTTGTCTGCCAGTTTATTTAACCCCCGGCTGTCTGTTTGTGTGTGTGTGTGAAACGGGGACAGAACACTATTGTTAAGAATCGGGGAGAAATGGGCCTGTTTCCAGCCTCCGGTGGGCCTCCGGAGTCCGGGAGAGGCTGTTTTCGCCCTCCCGGAGGCTTGAGAAAAGCCTCCGGAGCCTGGGGAGGGCAAAAACAACCCCCCCCCACCATGGTGCAGGAGGCCGAGTAAGCCACGCCCCCATGGCCACACCCACTCAGCAACTGGGCAGAGAACCAGTTGCTAAAATTTTTCAATCCTATCCCCTGTGTGCAACCCTTTCCACGGTGAATGGGTGGTCCAGAAACGAAGACTTTTCTAAGTTCCTGGCCCACCACTGAAAATGATGGGAGTATTAGCTGAGGAGCTCACCCAGCTCACGGGGCTGGGGTAGGGGCAAACGTCTGTCCCACCCCATAAAGGACCCACTTGAATGAAAAGCACAGGATCATCATCCTCTTTTTATGACTCAATAATCCCTTGCAGGGTGGAGTCTGGGCAACTGAATGGAGATGAGTTTTTACTGGCTGGATGCCCTTCCTGTTGCCAATGCGGAATTTTATTCAGCAGATATATTCTCATTGTGCCCAGAGAGAGAAAATATCCGCCTCTACCTAGGATCGAACTCACCCACACCAGGATTTTGAAAACGAAGGTGGATGGTCACCTTGCAAAGTAAAGTAATTTAGGAGCCTTGGGTCGTATTAGGAAGTGATGCAATTCTTCAAAAAAAAGGTCTCCTAATCTGCATTCATTTTAATATAATTATATTCTCTACGAAGCTTTCAGATCTCCCAGGGTTTAGATCAGGGGTCTCCAAACTTGGCAACTTTAAGACTTGTGGACTTCAAGTCCCAGAATTGAGACTTGTGGACTTCAAGTCCCAGAATTGAGACCTGTGGACTTCAACTCCCAGAATTCTGGGAATTGAAGTCCACAAGTCTTAACGTTGCCAAGTTTGGAGACCCCTGGTTTAGATAAAGACTTGGGTTCAGGGACAAGGAGAAGATCTGATCTCCGAGCTGCCGATGCATCGGCGGCCTAAGAAATTTAAGTTCTCCAGGCCTCCAAATCACTCTATTTCAGTCAAACGTCGCTTCTCTCTTTCTCTCTCTGTCCCCAGCAGTTGAAAATGATCCCTGATATACGTTTGGTTATAAGATAGCAGAAGACAGAAGATTCGGAAAGATGCAAACGCAAAAGAGTGGCACCAATCCACGCTTTGCCCAGTGTTGAGGAAAGGGGTGCTTGCTCTTGGGAAGTCCGGCCTTGGATCCAGCCATCACACAGGGATACTGGTACCCCCTTCACTATGAAGGGAGGCCTTGGAAACCTCTGTGCTGACCGTGGACAGAGGAAAAGTCTCGTACTTCTCCTTCTCACGACTACAGCTGCAACGGTAAAGCAAAGCCTTGACTTCTTTCTGGAAATTGCTATTGAGGAACCCGTAGATGATGGGGTTGATGCAGGTGGAAGCCATGGCTGTGAGGTGGCAGAGAGAGAAAATTAAGTTGTAGTAGCAGACCGAGATCTTCTGGTGGTCCCAGTCATAAAGGGCATTGAAGAACATGAGGGGGAACCAACAAGCGGCGAAAGCTACCACAATGCAAGCCAACATGACATTGACCTTCCGGTGGCTGGTGGCCCGGGAGCCATCATTGGCTCGCTCCACCATGTCCTTCCGGCGTTGAAGGCGTAGGAAGATGCGGAAGTAGCAGGCGAGGATGAGCAGCAAAGGGAGGCAGTACTGGAAGAGCAGGAGGAACGTGGTGTAAGACAAGCGGTGCTGATCGGAGGGCCAGCGCTCGATGCAGACCAGGTGGTTGGCCAAGGAGTCGAAGGGAAGGGTCAAGTTTTGAAAAGGCTCGTTGGTCAAGATGGTGAAGGACAGGAAGGGCAGGGAAATCCCGCAGGCCACCACCCAGGTGAGACCGACGGCCATATAAGCGTGGTTGGCCGCCGGTTTCCACCCAGTTGGGTTGATGATGAGCTGGTGTCTCTCCAGAGCGATCCAGACCAAGGACAGGATGGACACTGTGACGGAAACACACTGAACAAAGGGGCTGACCTTGCAGACAACTTCTCCCAAGATCCAGTGGTCCATCAGGGTATAAATGACGGTGACGGGCATGCAAACGAGGGACACGAGGATGTCGGAGAAGGAGAGGTTGGCGATGAATATGTTGGTCACGTTCCTCATCTCCTTCTGCTGGACGATGACGCACACCAGGCAGAGGTTGCCCGTCAGCCCCACCGCGATGAGGACGCTGTAAGCCACGATCAGGAAGGTGCTGTTCCCCACCGACTCGCCACAGGACATGCCGTGCTCCTCCAGCAGGTTCAGTTGCTCCGAGAAGTTCAGGTAGAGGAGACTCAGCAGCTGGTCCATAGCAGTTCCTCCTCCTCCTCCTCAGCGGATGGAAAGATGCCGCCTCTCACCAAAGGAGAGTTCTTTCTCTCACGCACACGGCTGTGTTGACCAGGAATTTCCTGGACCAAGAAAGAATTAGTGCATTGATTATATCTCTGTCTCTGTCTCTGTCTCTCTGTCTCTCTCTGTGTGTCTGTCTCTCTGTCTCTCTCTCTGTCTCTCTCTGTATCTCTGTGTGTGTCTCTCTGTGTCTCTCTGTCTCTGTCTCTGTCTCTCTGTCTCTGTCTCTGTCTCTATCTATCTATCTATCTATCTATCTATCTATCTATCTATCTATCTATCTATCTATCATCTCTGCTAAACAAATAATTCCCTCAACACTGTCAAACTAGTTACTAAGTCTGCATGACTATTAATCTTCTCATCGTTCCCATCACGTATCTCCTTCCACTTATGACTGCATGACTGTAACCTTGTTGCTGGTATCCTTACGATTTATATTGACTGTTTCCTAATATGATTCGATTGCTTATTTGTTCCCTATGACTATCATTAAGTGTTGTACCTTGTGATTCTTGACGAATATATCTTTTCTTTCATGTACACCGAGAGCGTATGAACCAAGACAAATTCCTTGTGTGTCCAATCACACTTGGCCAATAAAGAATTCTATTCTGTTCTGTTCTGTTCTGTTCTATATTCTATTCTGTTCTATTCTATTCTACTCTACTCTACTCTACTCTACTCTATATTCCCTATTCTATTCTATTCTGTTCTGTTCTGTTCTCTCTCTCTCTCCATCTATCTATCTATCTATCTATCTATCTATCTATCTATCTATCTATCTATCTCTCCCTCTCTCTCTAACCTCCAAGAACATCACAGTTAACATTTCTTAAGGAAAAAAAAAACACCTCTTAGTTTATAGTATTATATAAATTGAAAAGCAATGTGACTGTGTTACTATATTATTTTAAAAAGCCTATAATGTTTTTTTTTAAATCTGCTGCATAAAAAAAGCTACATGGCAAAGAGAGCGAGGAAACACGCCCCCTCCCCCAAATCATCTATGCTGTTTAGAGAACAAAAAGGGAAAAGTAGGGATAAAAATAATTTAATAACACCATCACAAATTAAACTAGAAAGTCAAAACAAAGCCATAATACTAAAATATCTCTATTAATAAGTAGATAAGTAGGTAGGTATGGAGAGAGAGAGGGGTGGAGGGAGGGAGAGGGAGGGAGTGGGAGAAAAAGAAAGAGAGAGAGAGAGAAGAGAGAGAGAGAGAGAGAGAGAGAGAGAGAGAGAGAGAGAGAGAGAGAGAGAGATCATCATCCATGTGGGACAAAGCATGAACTGCACAGTCACAGCTGCCAACTTTGAGCCGTGGTGGCACAGTGGTTAGAATGCAGTATTGCAGCCTAATTCTGCTGACTGCCGGCTGCTTGCAATTTGGCAGTTCGAATCACACCAGGCTCCAGGTTGACTCAGCCTTCCATCCTTCCGAGGTGAGTAAAATGAGGACCCAGATTGTTGGCGGCAAGAGGCTGACTCTGTAAACTGTTTAGAGAGGGTTGGAAAGCACTGTGAAGCGGTATATAAGTCTAAGGGTTATTGCTATTTATTTATTTGATACTGCCCGATCACCAAAGTTGCCCTAGTCAAAACCACTTATATATTATTGGTCCAACCTTATCCTAAAAGAGGGCTGATTTTCTCCAAAAGATATATTTCAAGAAATGGGGTCTAAAGTACAAATAATAATAATAATTGGGTATGGTCACATTAATAACTGGCTCAGACCATATTTTTAAAAAATGCCAGTCCTGATATTTTCCAAATAATTGGAAAGGTTAATGGCCCAAGCGCTTAAAAAAATATAAGACAGGGTCTTATTTTCAGGGAAACACGGTAGAAAAGATATAAATAGAAATAAAAAAGAGCAAGCTAAATCCCCAAAGGCTAGAAAATTCTTGGAAGCTTGGCATTCAAATAAATCAGCCATCAATAGACACATAGAGCTAAACTACACTTAGATACCATTTAAAAGAAGCAATAAAAAAGCTAGGAAGGAAACAAAAAGACCGGAACACATTCCCAACAAAAAAACCAGATAAGCGAGGATTAATGCCAGACAAACAATCAAGCAGAAAACAATACCCTAATCAAGGAACTGCCAAAGAGAAAACCATACTCCCCAACACCGACAAGGCAAGCTTCTATATAAATAGGGAGCAAACCCCACACTCAGTAGGAGTGATGATGTTACCTAGTCAGGTAAGGAGAGGTCTGCAGAAAAAATCAAGCAACCAAGAGCATCAAGGAGTCTGCAATTGAAATCTGAGCTACATAAAATCTCCTCTTTAGGAGAAAAAAAAAACACACCCCATAACAATGTTGAAATCCGTGCCATTAAATTTTAGTCTCCATTGCAGCCATTCCAAGAGCATCCCACCCCTGTCCTTTAACCTCGGGTTCTGCGTTTTATTTTCATAAAACGAAGTCTCACTTCTTTGCGACCGCCTTCTAAACACACCACACATCTTTGCAAAGCAAAGCTGGAATGGCTTGAAATGGAAATCCACCCAGCCTTACGAAAGAAAGCGAGAGAAAAAGAATGGGATGCAAATCGCTTCTGATTTTTTTTTTTTGCTAATTTCGTGAATCATCAGGAGCTAAGCTTGATTCCAGGGTGATCTCCCTACCAACACCAAAGACAGGTCCCCATGTATCAAATAAGCTTTTGAGGGGGCTGATATCCTTCCGAGGTAGGTAAAATGAGAACCCGGATTGTGGGGGCAATAAACTGACTTTGTATTTAAAAAAAACACCGCTTAGGGGGGGCCGAAAGCCCTACTAAGCAGGTATATACAAAAGTATGAAGGTTATTGCTTAACGCATTGTAAGCCGCCCTGAGTCTCCGGAGAAGGGCGGCATATAAACCGAACCAATAAATAAATAAATAAATAAATATCCTTTGTTAACTATTCCCCGCATCTTTTTCCTCATATTTGAAGCTCTCTCTCTTTTTTTTAAAAGTTTTTAATTTTTATTTCTCATAAACATACTTAAACGTACAGTCACTTATCCATTTTAAAACATATATATTTATCTTTTGATCTTCATATTAGTTCTTCCTAAAAAAAAAAAGGATATATTCGGGGTTGCTCTTCTACCATTCCCTCTCCCTTATTTTTACAATCACCTTTCCTCTCCTTCTTCCCTTTCCTTACTTCTTCTACCTCTTTCTACTTTCTTCTTTCCTCCTCTCCTTCCCCTCCTCTCCTTCCCCTTCCCTTCCTCACCCTCTTCCTCCCTTTCTAACCCTCTCTCCTACACTTATTTCCCCTCCCTTTCTTCCTCTCCTTTTCCCTCTCTTCTATCCCTCTTTCTTCTCTACTATCTGTCCCTCTACTCCTCTCTCCATCATTGTTTTCATTTTCAGTTCAATATATTTTCAAAACGGTATTCGAGCAACCCCGATTTTCTATTTACATGTATCTTCATTTCAATTTCTTTTCTATTTACTAATTACACCTATATCATCATTCATGAACATTTATATAATAACATTTTTCCCCTTTCCCCCCCTCCTTCCCCCTTTTCCATTGGATAGGGAAAAGACAAATGAGAGAAAAGACCAACACAAAAAAAAGGAATAGAAACCCAGATGACATCTCTCTCTCTTTTTAGTAAGCGATGGAGATCTGTTTCCTGCCACTTCTGCTCTCTGCAACACCCCAAAAGGTGCTTTTTCCAAAAGGCAGCTGGACTTTCTTGTTTCCACACACCCCACCCTCCTTGAAAACATTTCGCTTCTTCTCCGAGAAGCTTCTTCAGTTCTGCTTCTTCAGTTCATCCAAGCTTCTTGGAGGAGAAGCGAAAGGTTTTCAAAGGCGGGGGAAAAAATCCTCAAGAAAAGTCAATTTGCCTTTTGAAAAAGAGCACTTTTGGGGCAACCAAGACCTGGATGATTTGAGAATCTCCAGAGACAACCAGCCCCAAATTGCCATTTACCCAAATGAGCTCAGCAGCAATTTCCTTGCAGAGGGAGTGCCTAGAAATAATTTGCACCTAGCTTGGCTTAACGGTGATATCTCTCCATGCGGCCAAGATCCTAAGCAAATGCTCTCCTAAGGTGGGGGAAAAAACCAGCACCTGCCTGATTTTACCTGGAAACAGCCCAGGCCTGGGATGCTATTTGCAAACCGGTGGAGGATGGATGGCGATTTGTCTATCCAAGAAAGACGCACAGATCATCCCCACACCCGCTCTTGGGTCTGCGCTAAAGCTGGACATCCAAAGGACGCCTGTAAGGCGCAAAGTTCCCGAAAGGATCGCGTTGGGTCTCCTCGCTTTGCTGAATGACCCCCCGGAACCAACCAGGGCAGCTGCTCCAAGACTGACAGACAGAAAGACAGATGGGCTGACTGACAAACCGGCAGGCAGGCAGAGCTCAGCAATTTTTTCCGCACCAGCCTTGCATCTTTCGTGGGTGGGTGGGTTGGGGAGGGGGTCCTGCTTTGCAAGGCTGTAGGCTTCCCCCCCTTTTCGTGTTGCAAAGGGCTAGCTCCCCCACTCCTCCACCCACCCACCCCCCAATTCTCGCGCTGCCTTCCTCTCAACCAGCATCTCTGGGCAGGTGGGAGGAAAAAATGCCAACCACCCAAAAAAAAAAAGAGAGACTTTTTGGGGCGATTGGGGGTCTTTCTGGCTTTTGGCTCGCGCTCCTTTGCCCGCCTTCTCTCACCCACCCCCCAACCCTCTCCGAGGAGCCCCTTCCCCAAAGCCCACCGCTTGCCTTCTCCCGGCCCGCGGGGGCCAGATGTTGCGCAGCTGGCGAGACAGATCGCCGGAATTTCTCGCCCTGGATAGGAAAGAAAGAGCAGGCGGTTTTGGCTCCGGTCCGGCTCTTTTTTGCTCGGCTGCTCGGTGGCTCTGCTGCGCCTCCGTCCCCCCGTGGGTGGGTGAGTGGGTGGATGCTGGGAGGAGAGCCCAGCTGTCCGGCGGGAGCTGGGCTGCCAACGGGGTCAGAGAGGCCGGGGACGCCCTAGGCATCCAGCAGGCGGAGGGTTGGGAAGGTGGAGCAGCAACACACCCCTCACCGGACGGATGGCTGGCTGCTTACCTGGTCCTCGCCTCTTAAGGACTAGCACCTTGCAGGTCTCGCTCCTCTTCTTCCCCCAACGGCTCAAGGCTTCCCTGGCCGCCTTTCCTGCGCAGGTAAATTGCCCCTTAAGCGCTCCGGGCTCTTTCCTTCCTTCCTCCTCCTCCTCCTCCTCGACCAGGTGGGGAGAGAAAACAGCCAGCCAGGAGCCGGCCGGGGGCTCTTATGCGGGCGCAGCCAAGCCTCCCCGTCGCCCAAACCCCTCCCTTGGGAGGAGGAATGGGCTTGGCAGGCAGCCCCCTCCCCCGCACGTGGGGACCCCTCCCAGGCCTCGCCTCCCGCCCCCGCCTCCTCCCACGGGCTCAGGTGAGGGCAGCTGGCCGGGTCTCCCTTTCCGAGCCCTTCCTGGAGGGGGACAGGATCCCCCTTCCTAGGGTGGGGAGGGGACCCCGCGATTGTAAAAGCCCCCCTCTCCCCGGGAGCCGTTTGCCTCCGGAGGCGCCGCGTGGAAGCGTGGGGAGCCAGAGTGGGGTGAGCGGATGGTGGGAGAGGGAAAATGGCACGGGAGTCCCGTCCCCCGCAACGGCCCTTGACCGCCAACTCAGCAATGTAAGAAGCCGCCTGTATTTGCCCAGGGAGGGGGGATCACACCAAGACCCCCTTTCTTCTCTCGGAGGCATTTCGATTCCTTCCGTGAAAGTGAAGAAGAAAAATTGGGAGGGAAACCTGCAAGTGCTCCATGAGAGTTGGGATTGCCTTCCTTCCTTCCCTTCCTTCTTTTCCTTCCTTCCTTTCCTTCCTTCCTCCCTCCCTTCCTTTCTTCTTTCCTCCCTCCCTCCCTTCCCTCCCCTTCTCCCCTCCTTCCTCCCTCTCCTTCCTTCTCCCTCCCTCCCTCCTTCCCTTCCTTTCCCTTCTCCCCTCCTTCCTTCCTCCCTCCTTCCTTCCTTCCTTCCCTTTCTTCTCCCATCTTCCTTCCTCCCTCTTTCTCTTCCATCCTTCTTTCCTCCCTCCCTCCTTCTATCCCTTCCCTTCTCCCCTCCTTCCTTCCTTCCTCCCTCTCTCTCCTCCCTTCTCCCTCCCTCTTTCCGTCCCTTTCTTCTTCCATCTTCCTTCTTCCCTCCCTTCCTCTCCTTCTCCTTTCTTCCTTCTCTTCTTTCTTTTCCCATCTTCCTTCTTCCCTCCCTCCCTCCCTCTCCTTCTTTCTTTCTCTCCCTTTCTTCTTCCATCTTCCTTCTTTCCTCCCTCCCTCCCTCCCTTAACATACCACACCCATTTGCAGAAATCTGGAATTGTTTTTTTTTCCCCCTTGGCACTCTCTGCTCCATTAGCACCTAGTGTAAATTTGAGCCATAGAGGCAAAGACCACTGTGGATTTCGGATCCCATCCTTCCCAGGTAGAGATCCTGGAGGCACCTCCAGGAAAAACCCAACGACGCCCAATTTCTCAGGATGTTAACTCTCCCCTTGCGGGGAGAGAACCATTTATTTATTTATTTATTTATTTATTTATTTATTTATTTATTTATTTATTTATTTATTTATTTATTTATTTATTTATTTATTTATTTATTTATTTATTTATTTATTTGTCATCTTTCTATGCCGCCCACTCTCCAAGGACTCTGGGCAGCTTACACCAAAGACAGTATACTAAATACCATATTGCCTCCTAACAAACTGGGTCCTCATTTTACCCACCTCGGAAGGATGGAAGACCAAAAAAATCTGCAGGGAACTGCCAGACCCCCCCCTCCCCCCAGATTTTCTGAATCACCTTCAGTGACGGACAGCACTTGCACCGAGATGTTGCTCCTTCTCCCTGAACATTAAAATGCTCCTGAAATGCGAACGGGCTGCCCTTTTAAAATTGTTATTATTTTTAAAGAGGGGGGGGGGAAAGAAGGAGCAAAAACAGAGAAGCCCAAATAACAGCGTGGTCAATGCCTGGAATGCACTCCCTGACTCTGTAGTTTCTTCCCCAAACCCCCAAAACTTTAACCTTAAACTGTCTACTGTTGACCTCACCCCATTCCTAAGAGGTCTGTAAGGGGCATGCATTAAGTGCACCAGCGTTCCTACCATCCCTGTCCTAATATTCCTTTTTACTTACTCTTTTCATGTATTCCAATTATGTTTATACTTTTATCTGTTATCTTATATATGCTTGACAAAATAAATTTATGATTATATGATTATGATTATGATAAATGACCGCTTGGATTAGCACGCAGCATCTCCCTTAGTCAATCCAGTCTTTTCCAATTTCCTTCGTGGAGCTGGGCATTTTCTCTTTGCTTTGCATCAGCCGAGCAATCAGAAACCTGCAGCTCTGACCCCCAATTAGTTATTCCCCACCTTTGCCTTAACTAATTGCCTGCTCCCCACTAGGCGCCCATCAATGGAACTCACTATTATGTAACCTTCCCTTCCTGAGGCCCAAATCATGCAGCTATTCCCCCAAAGCCAATCTAAGCAGCCTGACAAGGCAGAGGTGGAGAGAGAGGTGGAAGGGCTGTAAAACTCGCTCAAGAAAGATGAAAGAAAGAAAGAAAGAAAGAAAGAAAGAAAGAAAGAAAGAAAGAAAGAAAGAGAGAAAGAAAGAAAGAAAGGAAGGAAGGACGGAAAGAAAGAAAGAAAGAAAGAAAGGAAGGAAAGAGAAGGAAAGAAAGAGAAAGAAAGAAAGAAAAAGAAAGAAAGAAAGGAAGGAAGGAAAGAAAGAAAAAGAAAGGAAGGAAGGAAAGAAAGAAAGAGAAAGAAAGGAAGGAAGGAAGGAAGGAAAGGAAGGAAGGAAGGAAGGAAGGAAGGAAAGAAAGAAGGAAAGAAAGAGAAAGAGAAAGAAAGGAAGGAAGGAAGGAAAGAAAGAGAAAGAAAGAAAGAGAGAGAGAAAGAAAGAAAAGGAAGGAAAGAAAGAGAAAGAAAGGAAGGAAGGAAAGGAAGGAAGAGGAGGAAAGAAAGAGAAAGAAAGGAAGGAAGGAAAGGAAGGAAGGAAAGAGAAAGAAAGAAAGAAAGAAAGAAAGAAAGAAGAAAGAAAGAAAGAAAGAAAGAAAGAAAGAAAGAAAGAAAGAAAGAAAGAAAGAAAGAAAGAAAGAAAGAAAGAAAAAGAAAGAAAGAAAGAAAAAGAAAGAAAGAACAACTAAGATGATCAAAGGCCTGGAGACTAAACCATATGAAAAACGGCTGCAGGTTTTGGGTCTGTCTAGTCTAAAAACTAAAGACTAGGGACGCGGTGGCTCAGTGGTTAAGACGGTGAGCCTGTCAATCGAAAGGTCGGCAGTTCAGAGGTTCGAATCCCTAGTGCCGCGTAACGGGGTGAGCTCCCGTGACTTGTCCCAGCTTCTGCCAACCTAGCAGTTCGAAAGCAGGTAAAAAATGCAAGTAGAAAAATAGGGACCACCTTTGGTGGGAAGGGAACAGCGTTCCGTGCGCCTTTGGCATTGAGTCATGCCGGGCACATAACTACGGAGACGTCTTCTTCGGACAGCGCTGGATGTTCGGCTTTGAAACGGAGATGAGCACCGCCCCCTAGAGTCAGGAACGACTAGCACATCTGTGCGAGGGGAACCTTTACCTTTAGTCTAAAGAAAAGAAGAGTTAGGGGTGACACGATAGCAGTATTTCAGTATTTCAGGGGCTGCCACACAGAAGAGGGGTTCAAATCATTCTACCAAGCACCAGAGGGCAGGACAAGAAACAATGGTTGGAAATTAATCCAGGAGAGAAGCAATTAAGGAGAACTTCCCAACAGTGAGGTCAATCAACCAGTGGAACTGCTTGCCACCAGAAGTTGTGGATGCTTCATCGTTGGAAGTTTTTAAGAAGAAACTGGACAGCCACTTGTCTGAGATGGTATAGGTTCTCCTGCTTGAGCAGGGGGCTGGACTAGAAGATCTCCAAGGTCCCTTCCAGCTCCATTCTACTATAAAACAGCCAATTGTGGGTAGTTTGTCAGAGCCCACCTGCCCCAGCCCTCGCACCCCTGCAGCTGATTGATTAAGGGACCTTCTTGACGTATACAGAATGGATCAATGAAGCTTTGTTAAGACTGCTCTACTTTCTCTTTATTCTTTCTGTCTTTGGCTTCTAAACTGTGACTCCCTCAACCAGCAACAGCTTCAAACCCTCTGAAGTCTCATCCTTTATGCTCCGTGGGGAGCAATGTTTGCGGGGGGGGGGGAGCCTCTTAGGCTGAGCTAAGGGGCTTACATGTGAGCCCACCCAGAGGAATGAGCCGCGTGCTGCAAAAGCAACGATAGGACAAAGGGAAGTCCTGAGGGCAGAGCCAAGAATGACCAACTGGACATCGGCCGAGATCTGCGCAATGCATCCGATGCAGCAGCTTCTGCTACAAAGGCAGATTACATCAATTTGGGTTACTCTCACGAAATCCTCAGATTGCAATCAAGTAATGGATAGAGGCATGATTCATATACGAAGGCTCGTGGCTCGGGACGAGCTGAGACATCCCAAAGTGCCCAGTGATTTTAATCCTTTGATAGCAGTTGTAGGGATGAGTGGTGGTACGGTGGCCTAGAGGTCTCGCAATCAGGAGGCTGTGAGTTCGATCCTAGATAGAGGCAGATATTTCTCTTTCCGGGCACAATGAGAATATATCTGCTGCGAACTCCGCATTGGTGACAGGAAGGGCATCCGGTCAGTAAACACTCAGCTCCATTCACTTGCCCCGACTCCACCCTGATGCAAGGGATTACAGGGTCATTAAAAGACCCCAAAAAATAGCAGTTATAGGGATATTTTATCTACTCTGAATCTCCCCAATTCATTTCCTTTGTGGTGGCCCTAGGTCCATGATGGTGAACATATGGCATGCCTGCCACAGGTGGCACACGGAGCCATGTCGCCTGGCACGCCAGCTCAGCTAGGGCACGCATGCACGCGCCAGCCAGCTAATTTTTGGGCTTTCTGGGCCCACCAGAAGTAGGGAAACAGGCTGTTTCCTGCCTCCGGAGGGCCTGCGGGTGGGATGGGGAAGGCTGTTTTCGCCCTCCCCAGATGCATAGAGAGGATCTGGAACCAGGTGAGACAGAAAAACGGGCCTACCGGGACAGTGTGTGCCAGGAGTGGGGGGGAGGGGGGTCGCGCGCGCATGCACGGGGCGCATAAAATTATGGGTGTCGGCATGTTCGCGCGTGAACTTTACCCACCCACCCCCCTTCCTGGCACGCGATGGCAAAAAGGTTAGCCATCACTAGGTTCAAGGCAGAGGTGGCATTCAGCAGGTTCTGACCAGTTCTGCAGAACCCGTAGCAGAAATTTTGAGTAGTTTGGAGAACCGGGTAAATACCGCCTCTGACTGGCCCGGCCCCCATCTATTCTCTGCTTCCCGAGTCCCAGCGAATTGGGAGGGAATGGGGATTTTGCAGGATCCTTCCCCTGCCATGCCCACCAAACCACGCTCACAGAACCGGTAATAATAAAAAATTGAATCCCACCACTGATTCAAGGGCCCTGGGAGACAGAGAAATCCCAAGAGGCTATTGATAAGAAAAGATGTCTATCCCTTTAATGCCAGATCATCGTCAATCAGTACTACTAAATCACAAATTTGTCAAAGCGAATCTGAAGTATTGTTTCTGTACTCATCATTCTATTGTTCTTGCTATTTTACTTCCATTTAATCATGCCTGATCGTCAGAGACTGCCTGGATAAGTCCCTGCAGTTTTCATGGCAAGGTTTTCCAGAAATGATCTGCCATTGCCTCCTTCCTAGGGCTGAGAGAGAGTGACTGGCCCAAGGCAGTGGTGAAATCCAATTTTTTTTTACTACCGGTTCTGTGGGTGTGGCTTGGTGGGCGTGGCAGGAA